GCAGCACCCATCTCTTCTGGCTTTCGCTGTATTTGTCTGTGCATCTGCTCCACTTACCTTAGCCACTTCTGCTTTGATAATTTCTCCCAGCCTTCTTGTTAGGACTTCATGTTCACATGCTGTTGATTTCCCCTTTTAATCCCTGAGGACCGAGGTGCTGAGGCACACTTGGCACTTTTGACACCACCTTTTCAGCGTTTGTTCTCGGCGCTGTCAATGTCAGCTTTGACAGCATCTCATGTAATCTGTCAGCTCCCTGAGCCCACGATTACTTGCTCATCAGAACCCGAGGGTGTGCTGTTTCTGTGGGTGCTCTGCACTCAGCCTTCTTTTGTGCAGGATTGCTTAGTTGTCGGCCTCCCCAGGAACACAGCGATCTGCACTTTAGAGCAATTATTTCATTTGGGGCAATTACGTGTAGGCGTTCTTTAAGCGAACATTTTCCCAGGCTGTGACTGAATTTTGAAACAGCAGATTCCCAATCTGATCTCAGTCTGTTGTCACTGGAGGAAGGTGGGGACCCTTTCTTTCCATCACAAGCAGGGTTCTTGCCTCACATCCTGTAAGTGGTCAACTACTTTTGTATTTTCAATATGGGGGGAAATAATAAAACTTGGTTTTGGTAGAAGTCACCTATTTGGCATTTTCACTCTCTTTTTGAAAAATTTACTTCCGTTTAAATGGAAGAAATCACTTAATCCTTTAGGAATTAGAGGACACATTAAGTAATACCTAACTCATTCATTCATTCATTCATTCATTCATTCACCATTGAGCCATCATCTCTAACTTAGTGGTTAAGAGTGTGACATGTAGAATGGCACTACTTAGGTAGGTTAAAATTTACTTACTAGGCGTGTGACCTTGAGAATTTGACTTTAATTTCTCTAAGTCTTAACTTCCTGGGTGAAAAATGGAATTTAGGATTGTCATGGCATTAAATAAGGACACATTTTCAATATAATTAATTCAGATCTTGGCACATAGAAATATTCAGTAGATGTTGGTTCTTATTTATTTTCTTGCTCTTGGAGGTAGATCTTTTACTATCTTTATATATAAAAGCCTAAGTGTCCAAACAACCAAACATCTAGTCACTATGATACACACGGACCACCAGGGGGCAGACACTCAATGCAGGAGATGCCCCCTGGTGGTCAGTGTGCTCCCACAGTGGGAGCAATGCAGAGCTCATAGCTGGCAAGTGCTGCTGTGGTGGCACAAGCCTCTCCCAATCAGGACTGATAATGTGAACCCATAGGAAGTGCAGCAGGGCAAGGATGAGTGGGAGCCACAGGCAGCAGCAGGGGCAGCATGCAGTGTTGGACTGCTGGTTTGACATATCCCATGGGTCCTGGATTGCAAGAGGGCACAGGCCAGGCTGAGGGACCCCACCATTGCATGAATCCGTGTGGGCCTCTAGTAATTAATAAGTGACCATAACATAGTAATTATTATTTTTGCTCTTAATAACTCTCCAGATGTTTTACCCTTTAAGTCCTCTTTGGAAACCTTATTTCCCCCTCAGTAGCAAACAGATTGCGGCAGATTACACATTCCTGCAAAAAGGAGGCACCTGGAAAATGTATAACATCTTTGTCTTTTAAAAATATGTTTCAAAAAATAAATGTCAGCTCAGTTAGGCAGACGTTGGATCATGTAGGAGTAGATGAACAGTTCCCGGTGATAGAGGAGTGAACGATGGTACACTTTGTTCATTTGATTGTTGGGTGGGATGCTGAGGCCACAACTTGCACTGACTTTGTCACATCGTAAATCCAACCTATTTGTAGGTTTTAAACTGACCAAATGCTAACCCAGGGACAGTTTCTGCAATTTAATGATAGCTCTAATTATATTCCTGTGAGAATGTCTTATTTAAAAGAAAAAATAGATTTAAAAATATCCAGCCTGAGGCTGCCTTTGTTATTCTCCTCTTAGAAAAAGAGGATATACTTTATAGTGAAATGAAGATCCTAATAGATTAGCAAGATTTTCCTGATTTTTAAAAGCTCAGAGATCTAAAAGGATCTTTGTTTTCATAGTCTGACCACACTGTTCTACTTTAGTTTAAGGCTGTGAAGTCTTATACATTTTTTGTGTGGGGGATGGTTTTTTAATGGATAATGTCTAGAGCTTCATGTAAGCAGATACTATAATACTTGATTATCCTATACTTTTAAAAAAATATACTTTATTAATTTTTTGCAGAGAGGAAGGGAGAAGGATAGAGAATCAGAAACATTGATGAGAGAAACATCAATCAGCTGCCTCCTGCACACCTCCCACTGGGGATGTGCCCGCAACCAAGGTACATGCCCTTGACTGGAATCAAACCTGGGACCCTTCAGTCCGCAGGCCAATGCTCTATCCATTGAGCAAAACCAGTTAGGGATATCCTGAACTTTTTAAAGGAGTTTACATTGATATATTTTTTTCTGGTTATGGGCCAAGATTCCTATACATTTTATAGTTTTGTTTTTTAAAAAATCTATCTTCAATTTTATCAGATCTAATATTTCAATTTGGACAGCTGACCTTACAGGCTATATGTCCTAATCCTATCTGCTCCACACTTTGGTTTTAGTTTGCAACTTCTGATATCTATAGACTGTAATATCATATCCAAACTAATTTGAATAAATTTTTCTTTGGTGTTAGTGAGAACTATTTTGGTTATTTAGAGATATATTTGGTGATGATTCTGTAATTGGTTTAGCTGGGTCCATAGAGAAGAGAATAAATTCCAGAAAGTTTGGGAGAGCTAATATAGTTCAATCATTCAGTCATCAAATTAGCACCTACTATGTGTGTTCTACCAGCACTATATGGTGAAAATACCATTACTAAATGTTAGGCTTGGGGACAGAGTTGATCCTAGCCTGCTGCTAAATACATCTATACCCTTAGGCTAGTCAAGTTCATATGAGTTATAATACATGCTGTGAGCATCAATGAGACTTCACTATTCCTGTGAATACAGGCGGGGGTGGGGGGGTGGGAGGGGAATGTCTGAGAGGGAAGTGAAGAATACAGCAGTTGGTTGAACATGAGTGGCGTTTCCAGTGAGTGTGCTGAAGAGACAGGGAAGGAAAGACAGACAGGAGAAAGCTTAGGGTAGAGAAATGGAGAAAAGATAGGCTTACATTTTGAGAGGTGACTAGAAAAACAAGAACAGAGCCAGGTGCATAAGCACTCAGATTGTGAGAATTCACCACTGCCCAGCAGTAGTGATGTGGGATGGAGGGAGGGTGGGTTGAGGCGGCAGATTTTTGTCTCTCAGTCTGCAAGTTTTGGCTGCAGGGGGCAGCAGTTAGAGGGTGAGGATGCAACTTGAGGAAAGCAAAATCTGCTTAATTAATACCAAATTTTAGATCTTCGGTATCTTTTTTCCTTTTTCTAATTGGTAAATAAATAGTCTATGGTCATTGCTTGCGTGGTAAGGAACTATGTAAATAGGTTTTTGTCTCCTGGCCTGATTATACTTCTACTGCTTTTAGTTTCTTCAAGAATTAACTGAGAAAACTCAAAACCTCCAACCAAATATTTGTTGTTTATCATTTTCCCTTCCACCATCATATCATATTTTTGGTGGCTGACTATGAAAGATTACATTAGCAAATTATAATAGGAATGCATTCTAAGTACCTAGCCCTAATGTTCACTTCTGATTTTGTAGATAGAAGAAGAAAAAAAAAAGATGGTTTATTAGAAGTTCTTTGCATTGCATAATACATCTGATATAGTCCATGTCATAAGAACTGACAGGTTACATTTGTGACCAAAATGATGAGGGTGCATCAGATAGACCCTGGGATTATGGGAGATATCAGCTCATAGTCACCTCCTATTTGAAAGACTTTCTCCTCATGTATGATGACTTGCATGGCAAGGAAACAGGATATTCTGTGACAACTTCATTTCTGATACTGTCATCTTGAGCATTTCAAATTCCCTCTTCTTGAATTTAACATCTCTTCAGAATGAATTTGAGCTCAGAGTTCACAGTTCAGCTCCAATATGGTTTCTTAAAAAGCTAATTAATTTATTTCTAAAGAAATACTACTCTGGTTTTGAGAAGGAAAAAAAGAAAAGAAAGAAAAGCAACTCGAGATAGGCCTAATTACCATCTCTAGTTGTATAAATACTATTTTAAAGCAAGAACTGAAACAAATAACAAAACAAAAAGCTCTAGTGGAAATCCTGTGTGAAGCTTACAACTGCTCCCATGCAACTTGTCCCAGTTATCAGTAACACTATTTGTTTTGTTTTGCCTGACACTGACATCATACAGACCAGGAATTTCAGTTAATAATTTTAGACTTCTGCATTACTGCCATTTTGACCCAGGCTCTTGACTTTTGCAAGCCTTAGGCTATGTACGTAATCCAGAAATAGAAGGAAAATGATTTATGGTAAAAACATTGATTTATGTGAACATTCATTAAATAGCACCTCAAGTTTGCAATAAGCCTCTCAGAGAAAGAAAATACCTTTTTAAAAAAAATCTTATGGTTTGTTTAACGATTATTGTACTAGAGGCCTGGTACACAAAATTCATGCACTGGAGGGGAAGGGTCCCTCAGCCCAGCCTGTGCCTTCTCACAGTACAGGGCCCCTTGCTTGTTATCTCCCACCTTCTCGCTGATCCTTACTGCTCAGCTTGCTGCTCCTTAGCACTACTGTGGAGGTGGGAGAGGCTTCTGCCACTGCCACTGAGCTTACCAGCCATGAGCCTGGCTTCTGGTTGAGCAGCGCTCCCGCTGTGGGAACACACTGACCACTAGTGGGCAGCTCCTGAGTTGAGTGTCTGCCCCTGGTGGTCAGTGCACATCATAGCGCCGGTCGTTCCGCTGGTCATCTGCCTTTTGGTTGATTTGCATATGAGGCTTTTATTATATAGGATGTGAAAATGATGTGTAGAAGTCTTGGGGAAATACTTAATAAAATTGTGGTAAATGTGGCAATGTTGACTTTGAATCTTTTTCTTTTCATTTCAGCGTTTGAATATAATCTTTCATGTAGCCTTGGCTCTTCTAAAGGTAAGTCTGTTTTTCTTTTTAAGTTACCAAACTCTCTGACTTCTCTGCCCTGGGAACTGGGCATAAATCAATTTATAATCTCTAACTCATTTAGATTCTTAAACACACAGAAAAGATTTTATTGAGGAACTCTGCTCCTGTCCCTTCTTCCCATCCTCTTTTGTTGTTGTTTATTTAGAGTTTGTTTCTTTGTTTTCCTTATAATCTATTTAATCTTTCTGTCATAGCTCTCATTCTAATAATTAAAAAAAAGGTTTTCATTCATATGAGTTAGATGATATAAAAGAAAAAGTAAAAACCTGTTTCTGTCAAAATGATGCCCGTTTTTTTCCCCTCTTAAAATACGTCTTACCATAATAACATCCTTAGAGATAACTATGATAAACATGTCATTGAATTATTAGAAAGCTTCTGTAACATACAGACTAAAAAGGAAACTGCTACATTTCAATTTGCAGTTCTTTCTCTGATAGCTAGAAATTTATAAGACACTTCACCAGTAGAATACAGTTATAATTACCTTGTTGAATTTTATATCAACATATCAGTGCTGCTTTAATAGTGTGGTAACAGCAAGACATTTGCTGCAGAGTTGGTGAAAATAACCCAGTTGGTTTTTGTCCTTCAGTCAAATATGACATTTCGTTATTGAAAGTGATAATTACCTTATATATTAAAAGATGCAGGTTCACCTTTTCCCCAGTAAAGCATAGTGGTTAAAATCACAGCCACTGGATTTGGTTCTAATTTCAGCTCTAGTCGCCTCGGGCAAATTAAGTGCTCAGACCCTGAGTTTTGACATAATAATAGAAGCTAATTTATGGGATTATGATAAGAATGAAATAAGATGATACCTAAAAGTTTCTAACATAGTGTCTAGAAAATTATATTTCCTAATAAATGTTAGCTGTTGTTATTGTGATTACTATTGTAGTCACAAGATAGCTCAGAATATTTTTCTAGGTTTCCCATCATGTTTCCAAATTTTCCAAAAGATAATGACTTGATACCTTTAGAGAGCCCCTTGATGTTTTAGGAGAGCTTCCATGCTTAGCCATGGAAGACCTTGAACTAGATTCTAGAACAAAGGTGTGACATCATATGGGTCTGTGCAACTCAAGATGCAGGTTGCTACTCTTCACCTAGTATTCATTTGTTTTAGTGAAGTTCGCTAAATGTACTTCAAATTGTCAGTTTAATAATTTTGAGTTTAGATATGAACATTCTTATGTGGAAGTTATTTTAGAAATTAGGAAACTATGTACAATACCTTCAATAAAATAACAAATACATTTGTATGTATCTTTTAATGAATTATGGATCTCTCTACCTCTAACTTTTTATTTCTTGTCATTAAAAAATAACACTTTTTAAGATGCTTTCTGAATAGGGCTGGAATAAAACTTTTAGACTGCCTTGTGACAATATTATGTACTATAGGTTGAAAACAGTATTAAACCATAAGTGTAAGAAGTCTAACAAAGTTCTGATTTTTCTATCATATCTAATTTTTTAAAAATATCAGATATCCCCTCTTTCCCATGATGCCTTTTCTCTTTTTTGTGGTGACCTTTCTTTACTGGTACTCTTAACACATGCTTAGTCTGTCGTTTGTGGCTAACCCAGGCCTTTCCCTCTGGATATCAGACCTGTACTCTGTGTCAGCCAGTATGTATCCATCTGGTAAGTTGTCTTCTAATTAACAGGTATTTTTGGCCATGTTAACCTCTACATGACCTATGTAGAGGATACTCTCTGGCCACTGGGCAGAAAGACTTTTGTACCTTCTCTACAAATAACGTGGCTACTCATCTGTTATCGCCTTGGAGAATTTGACCAGACAGAGAAGATAAAAATGGGAGCTTTCTCACTGCTACTGGCCTATATTTCTATCACTTTCTTATGTGAATCTCGGAGCTGATCCCACATAGAGACAGTGCAGATCGGAGAATTGAAGTAGATTTGACTGAGCTGATTGCCCCATCTGTAAAAAGACTACTCCAAACACATATGACAGTGACTTTTATAGCTTCTTAGCTAATATGCCAGATAAAAGACTATATTTATTTATATAAAAATAAAAGTAGGGATAGTTCGAAGTGCTTATGCTTGTGGACCCAGTGGCAGAGAGGCTTCTGGTTCCTCTGAATTAAAAGTGTTTGTTGGGATGTGGGGAATCAGAAAGGAAAGTACCATTTCTGAGCACTTATTCTGTGCTAAGTGTTACCATAGGTTTGTCATTAGCACACAATAAATGTCCAGAGAAAACCATCAAATTCTCTCCCTGAGTTGAGACCTAAGAGGACCCAGGCCCCAGGGTATCTAAAGTCTTTTGGCTTAATAATGGCAAAGCTGGATTTGTAGTGTTTTTAAACAGCTTCTTCCTTGCTGATCATGTTCATTCCCCTGGCTTTATCTATAAACTAGAGGCCTGGTGCATGAAGTCTGGGAGCCTGTGACTCGGGCGGAAAGTGACTCAGTGATCAGGGGAAGGTGATGCCCCCATCAGACCTCTGCTGCTGCCATTGCCAGCAGTGCAAGCCTCAGCTGGCCCTGGTTGTCTGAGCCTTGGGTGGCCCTGGGTGGTTAGGCAGCCACCATCCAGGCTTGCCTGTGCCTCGGGAACTGAGGGACTCTGGAGGCAGGCACCCTGGCGAGGCTGAGGGGACTGGGTGCCGCCATCTTGTGGCTGTGGTGCCACCATCTTTGAAGGTGTGACAGTCAATTAGCATATTCCCTCCTTATTGTCTGTGGGTGCTGCCATCTTTGTGAGGGCATGATAGTCAATCAGCATATTCCCTCTTTATTAGACAGGATGTTCATTCTTCTCTTTATATTTAGCCTGCACTCAAATGTTTGACAGTGGATTTAATATAAGTCTGTTTAGATGTTTCAGAGGCACATCAAATCCAAAAGTCAAAACGAACCAATATGCCCTCCCAGACCTGTTCTGCCTTCTCTGTCACCTTCCCCTCAGTAAAGGCACTCACTGCGCAGCAGCTCAAAGTAGAAACCTGGAAGCTATCCTCGCTTCTGTCTTCTCGTTTTTAAATCTCTGGCATCTAAGTGGATCCACTTAGATGAGAATGTGGGGCTCTGAACTCTCTGACCTGGACTGTTACAGTGACCTCTTTCAATAAGAAATATTGGACACCTATCGAGTGGAAGGCACTTGGCTTTGGCAGTAAAGTATTGATGAGGACAGACCCCGTATTCATGGATCCTGTGTTCTGATGAATGAAAGATAGTAATTGCACAAATGTAATGACTTTAGCATTGTGTTTGTTTAGGTTTATCAGGGAGAGAGATGTTGGTGCAGAGGGAGAAGAGTCCTCCTTCTTTGAATTAGCTTGTCAATAAAAATGCTCTAAAGGGTGATATTTGAGCTGAACACTGAATGAAAAGAAGTAGCCAAAAATCTGGAGAATGAGCCTTCTAGACAGAAGAAGCAAATATAAAGGTCCTACAGAGGGTTTTCTTTGCTTAAAAAAGGAAGAACGCCTTTGTCTGGAGTGCGATGTTATGAGAAGTTGGTGGCTTGGCTTTGGTTTTAGCAGTGGAGCTAAGAGAAGCGGACACTGCTCCTCTTCCAAATACTTTTGGCCATTGTCCAGCCCATTCCCACGTGGTCACTATTCGTGTCCTTTTAAAACAAAATTTGTTATTCGCTATTCAGCAAATATTCACTAAACACCTACTTGGAGACAGACACTATTCTATATGCTTGACTAGATTAGTGAAAATACTTGCCTCGATGAAGCCTGTGTTATAGCACACAGTTAATAATCAAGGAACATTACAAGTATGTAAATCATGTATATGAGAAGCAGAAGTGCTGTGGAAAAAGGAAAGGTTCAGCAGGGTAGAGGGCAATTGTGGTCGGTTTTACCATGTTAAATAGGGAGTCTGGTTCACCAAGTAAGGGGCTGGAGCGGAGGGGGTTGGGCAAAGGCTTGAGGCAGTGAGGGAGGGAGCAATGCTGATGTGCACAGGAGCATTCCAGGTAGGTGGAAAGCCCTGCCCAGGCTGTGTGCTCTGAGAAGGACTATGGGAGGAAGGTCAGAGAAGTAACTGACCTCCTGATTTAAAACCTTTCCATGGCCTCCCACTGCTCTTGGGTAAACTTCATTTTATAATGGAACCCACAAGGTTTTCATGGTCTGGCCAAATTTAGCCCTCTTCTTATCTCCCCCTTTTCTCCCTCTCACTGCACTCTCTCAATCAAGTCATAATAATCAACTATCTCCAAAATCCTAGGGTAGGAATCCCTCCCATACCAGCATGATAAATAAGAGGCAATTAAAACAATGAGGGTTCTAATTTTTTTATACCCTTGCTAACCCTTATTATCACCTTTTTTATTATAGCCACTTTAGTGGGCAGCAAGTAGAATCTCTTCTTGGTTTAATTTGCATTTCACTGATGGTTAATGATGTTGAGCATCCTTTCATGAGCTCATTGCTATATGTATATCTTTTTTTTCTTAGAAATATCTATTCAGATATTTTGTCCAATTTTTAATTGGGTTATCTGGTACTTTTTATTGTTGAATTTAAGGGTTCTTATAGTCTTCTGAGTTTGCAATGAGTTTACATATTCAGCTAGTTTTATAACTTCCATGAAGGAATGCCTGTTGTCCTGTTGGTGGCAGCAAAACACCACTTCTTTAAAAATAGAAGCTACTAATCCAGCACTTCTGGTTCTTGACATTGGAATTCCTTTATATTGGTTTCCCCTTGCAACATAATTTAAATGTTTAGTTTGTTTTAACTTTTCTCTAGTGTAGCTTCAGTTTGATGATGGGTGTAGTTTTAGTATGCTATCTTGTAAATGCTAAAACAGCCAACAAACACAAATGTGGACATTTAAAGTTTCAGAAATAATGAATTTTATGGATTAAAGATCAATACTAGAAAGAGTGCATATCCTCATACTACCATGCAATGTATTACAGAACACCTTGTAACTGTGGAAGGGATTTCTCATTATTTGTTTCTCAT